TTAACCAATTGTATTCACAGTATACAGAGGGGAATCACACATCAGGGACTCAAAAATAAAACAAAACAAAAAACATAAGAACAGTGATAAAAGGAAAATAAGCAAGAAGGGTACACAAACATTGCCTTTGTATTTAAGACTCTGGTTGCTGTGGGACAATGGTCTTTCATTTTGTCACTCATATTATTTTAATAAAATGGTGATTGGCCAGTAGCCAGGCAGGAAGTGGAGGTGGGGCAACCAGGCAGGAAGTAGAGGTGGAGCAACCAGAACAGGAAAATTCTGGGAAGAGAAAAGGTAAGTCTGAAGTAGTCACCCAGACACAGAGGAAGCCAGACATAAACCAAGACTGCCTTACTGAGAAAGGTACCAAGACACGTGGCTAATACACAGAAGCATTATGTGCTAATATAAGTTATAAGAGTTAATAAGAAGTCTGAGATAGTAGGCCAATCAATTTATAATTAATGTAGACCTCTGTGTGTTTCTTTGGGACTGAATGGCTGCAGGATCAGGTGGGACAGAAACCTCGGTCAACATCTGGTGGTTTATGGTATTGCACAGAATTAAATACTGATTTATCAATATTCTTGGCTCAGAGATTGAGGGTAAGGGGAGTTTGTTATTCACAGGATGGCTATCAAACATTTTAACAAATGTTACTTTATTAAAATTTATCAGAACCTGGATCATGACTATCTCAATAGGCAAAGTTCAAGATGTTTGTCCTTAATAAGCCAATTAAACAAACAAGAAATGGTGAAAAAGCAGAAAAGGACATCTAATCAATGTAAGCACATTGGGAAGAGGAATAAAGAGATCCAATGTGTCTATCTTTGGGGCCCTAATAAGAAGGCTAGGTTTCAATGTAAGGTAAGAGATTTTGTAACTAAACAGTCCTGGTTATGTTTCAATATGAGGTAAGAAATTAGAGTAACTAAATAGTACTTCCAAGAATATGTCTAACATTTTACTCCAAATTGAATCACTTTATTTTGAAGGAAGACTCACTGAGAATCACACAGTCAACATAGTTGGTGTTCAGACAGAAACCAACAGACTCAAGGGTAATTTGTTGCAGTGACCCTTCAAGTAAATAGATATTGAGACATGCAACCAAGGCTTATCTCTGTGAAACAGGAATGTCTGAGAAGGAGATCATTATATGGCCACCTTTTCATGTTTGAGGTAGGACTGTGTGCCTCTTCACTGTGCGTTGTTTATATGTCCCCTGAAATGGGTGATAGCACATGAAACCAAAGCCAAGGATTTGTGAGGGAACTGTATTTGGGTGGAATCCTCAGACAGACATCACTTTCCACTTGGATTTAGTGGTGTCACTCCTTAATGAGTGAGATTCATTCAGTGAATGCAGTGCTGTCCTCTGACCTGGTGACGAATGAAAGAACATATTTCTATCTTTTAAAGTAATATGTTAGGGACTGGATCATAAATAGGCTTGTAGTGTCTACTACATGTTTTTTGTGGTAGGTGATGGATGTGTCCTCTCACTACTACTCTTTAGTATATTCTTGGAACTAATAATAACAACAGCCCTAAAGGATGAGGAGATCTCCATACAGATACGTGATGGTGAGTGACGTGACAGCTTGCGTTCTGACAATGATACAACACTACTTGCTAAAGTCCAAATAAGCTGCAGGCCATGGTTGATAGTGTGGTGGAAGTCAGTGAAAACCTTGGTATGAAAGCAAACATCGAAAAGCCTGAAATACAACACCTGGGAAGAGCACACAAGTATTTTAACATTGAAATAAAGAATCAGAAACTTAAGCAAACAGTCAAATTTGTCTATTTGGGAGGTAACTTCTGTTCAAAGGTGGGAACTATTTCAGATATCAAGAGGCAGATATGGATAGTGAGGACTGCATTCCAGACACTAGGAAAGGTTTGGTCAGCAAGAGACATAACAACAACAACAAAATTACAAATATATGAGACTGCCTTCTTTACAACTCTGAAACCTGGACAAAGAAACACTCCTCAAAATGGCAGCTGAATATGTTTGAGATGACATGCCTCAGGAGGATTCTAGTTGTCATATGAAGAGATAGATAGCCTATGCAATGGTGATATTAAGAAACATCTCCATCTACAGAATGAAATAAACTACAGGATACAGCAGCAGTGCTTGAGATACTTCAGTTGTGTTGTGAGAATGAATGATGGCAGTTACCCAAAAATAGCACTGCTTTGAGGAGTGCACAGGATAAGGTGAAGAGGAAGGCCCAAAAAACGCTGGATATACAGCAAAAAGGAAGACTGTGGAACCTTGGGTATGACAATAACACAAGCATCTAAGACTGCCCAGGATAGGAACAACTGGAGAACCATCATAAATGGGCTGCCCATGCATGCTTAAGCATTGCCGGGGCATAAAGAATGATGATGACTGAAGTATTCTATGCAGCTAGAACTTAGGCAGACCAGGAGCAAACAAGAACTTGTCATGGGTAGTTTGATGTCCTTCTGACACTAGTTAAGTTGATCTGAGAGGTAAAAACCTTAATTGAGAAAACACGTCCATAAAAATCAGGCTACAAGCAAGCCTGTAGACCATTTTCTGGATAAGTAACTGGTATGAAAATGCCCAGTCCATTGTGGGTGGTGTTGTCTATCCCCAGGATAGTGGTGCTTGGCTTTATGAGAAAGTAACCGGAGCAAGCCTGAGGAACAAGCCAGTAATCTGCAATCTTCCATGTCTCTGAAACAGCTCCTGCCTCTAGTTACTTCCCTGTTTGAGTTCTTGCCTTGATGGTTTCCAGTGACTACCTGTGATATGGATGTATATCTGAAATAAACTCAAGTTTATTTCCTACCCAAAGTTGCTTTTGATCATGGTGTTTCATCACAGCAATGGAAACCTGAAGACAGGAATGAAGATATGACAGACACACAGACACACACTCAGAAAAGTCAAGTGGGCTCTCACCATTCTAATGGGTTGGCATGAGCTTAAAAAAAGAGTCTCAGTGTGTTTATTAGATATGGTTCAGAGAGCAGCATTATCAAGTCTTTGTGGGAGCAATTGCTGTCTGGATTGTGACGAGCTGTGGTTTTCTCTAACAGTCTCTGTCTCAAGGAGAAGCTTTTTGGTGAGAGTTGGGAGCTGCACTTATCTATGCCTATACGGGTAAGTTTTAGAATGAAGTATGGAATTCTACCTTGCTGCAGATGAACTTCATTGTGCTTTTAAATCTGTATGGGAGATTGTAGACATGAAATTCATTAACTATGTTCTGTTCTCAAATATTGGCTCAAGATACATCATTCATTGAGTAACATGGCCATTAGGCAGAAATAAATAGAAAGACACAGACACAGTCCCTTAGTTGAGAAGCATTGCCTGGGAATGATAGACCACAACTCTGCCTATATTCTTGATGCATTTTTTTCCTCTTTGCAGTAGTTCTCCCGGATGGTATTTAGTATCTCTTGTTTGTGACAGAATTCTAATATTTAAATATTCTATTGACTATCAGTTATCAAAATTTTCAAGAATAGTTCAAACATGTATTTTCTCATAACACATATATTAAATACATGAATAAATATCTGGCAACAAAACAAATAGTTTTAGCCTATTCAGTACTCATGAATATAAAGAAAAGCTGCATTCTATTTTGTGCCTATAGCACGATAATTCAAATTATATATACATAAACCTTGCAAACAAATTCAAGCAATGAAATGAAACATTCATATTTCCACAGGTTTTACATTAGCATACACACATATCACATAGCATTTATGTACATATATGGGTGGGTGAACATATGTGGGTAACTTTGTATAGTAAAAAGAAATCAGCTGTGAAAAGAAGACATGACTAGTGCAAGAAAAGCTCTTCAAACTATGAAGATTGGGCTTCACTGGATGAGATAAACTGACAAGACATTGATATATCTGTGTTCTGGGTTTTAAGCTGATCACAAAGCCTGCAATGTTTTGCATCTGTAATTAGACAGATGTTATTGCAGATTCTGCTCATAACTGATAAATCTGTTGCTATAGGAGAAGTTAAAACATTATGTTAGTTAGAGGTACCTGGCTTCTTTGTATCTTTTTGTTAAAGTATTTTTATTAATTATTTCAAAAGTGTATAACATGCATTTTGATCAACTTCATTGCCTTATTCAATCTTCTCCCAGATCTTCCTTCCCATTCTTTACTCACCCAACTTTGTGTCCTCATTAAAAAACAAAACAAAACTCCAAGCCTCATTTGTACTGCCTATATAGTTTTAGAGGTGTGATCATTCACTGAAACATGTTAGACATATCAGGGACCACAGCCTTAAGGAAAGCTAACTCTCCCTCTCCCAGCAGAGCAGCTATCAATAACCAATAGCTCCGGAGGCAGTGGTGGTACTCTGTGACCACCTGTTCCCTTCATGTTGAGAATTTGTCCTGCTTGAGCTTATGCAGGTCTTGTGCATGATGTCACAAGTGCTGTGAGTTTATGTGCACAGCTGTCTTCTTATGTCTGGCAAATATTATAGTCCTTCACCAATGCTGACTCTTATGTTTCTTCCATCTGTTCTTATGCAGTGTTTCTCAGGGAAAGGTAGACGTGACAGGGGGAATCTTTCAAGCCATAGAAGACAGAACTTGGTGATGATATATAAAAAAGGAAGAAATAGAATAATGGAACATAATCACTTTAATGGGTTAGGAAATGGGAGAACAAGGAAAAGGAGGGAAGATGGGGAGAGATAACACAAAGACTTTCTGAAAAGAATCATTTGAAAAACCTCTACTGCAGAAGATCCCTATAGTGTGAGCATGTACACATAAGCCTATTTTCTTAACACAACTTGTTTCCAGGATTTAAATCTCAGAGAAATCAGAAAAAAATTAACAGAGGCCTGTTATCTGAGATAGGACACAAAATAAAAAAGAAATAGCTGGCTTAGGAGAATTGAGAAGCTGTCCTTGAAAGAAATGAAAAAATGCAGGACATTTTGAGAAGGAAAAAAATTATTCATGAGAATTTTTTTCATATAACTTCTTTAGAGCAAGTTTGACATCTTTATTTCTCAGGCTGTAGATCAATGGGTTCAGCATGGGAACAACAATAGTATAAAATACTGAGGACACTTTCCCTTGGTCCATGGAGCTGACTGACGATGGTTGTAAGTACATGAATGCAGCAGATCCAAAGAACACAGCAACAGCTGACATGTGTGAGCTGCAGGTGCTGAAGGCTTTGGACCTTCCTTCAGTGGATTTAATCTTGAGGATGCTGGCAATAATGAAGATGTAAGAGCTCAGGATACTCAGTGTAGGGAAAAGGATATTAAAAGCACTAAAACACAGGACTACAACTTCATTGATAAAAGTGCTGGAACAAGAGAGCTCCAAGAGTGGAAAAAGATCACAGAAGTAATGGTTTATTACATCACCTTCACAGAAATGCACTCTTAGCATGCAGACTGTGTGAGCTGTGGCACCAATCAAACCCATACCATACACTCCAAATATCAGCCAGAAACAGACTTGATAGGACATCATAGCATTGTAAAGCAATGGGTTACAGATAGCAACATAACGGTCATATGCCATTGCAGCCAACATATGACATTCTGATATAACAAAAATGAGAAAGAAATAAAGTTGAGTCATGCATTCAGGGTAGGAGATGATGTTCTTCACTGTTACAAAGTTCACCAGCATTTTGGGGGTAATGACCGTGGAATGACAGAGGTCAATGAAGGACAGACTGCAGAGGAAAAAGTACATGGGGGTGTGGAGGTGGGAGCTGAGGAGGATCAGAGTGATCATGCCCAGGTTCCCCACCATTGTTACTACATAGATTCCAAGGAAGAGGAAGAAGAGAGACAGCTGTAGTTCTGGTGCATCTGTCAATCCAGCAAGGATGAACACAGTGACTGTGGAGTGGTTTCCGGCTATCATTTCTTTTGGAGATTCTCTGTAGGAAAGGGAAAAGAAAGTGAAGATAAACAATACCTGTCCTATCACATAATGAGTTGAGAAACCGAGTTCAAACTCTTTCAGACACGTATCTCCAAGTTTCATGGCTACTCTCTTATCTTATCAGTCTAGGTATTAGAGGTTCAAAAGTATAATACTCAGAGATAGATAAATATAAAATATACCAATCACTGTTCATGAGCTACATTAGGAGAATACATTAGCACCCATTCCGTGAACAACCAAAGAGAGATCTGAGGGTTTGAATGGAGTTTTCTAAGAACTTTTCAAGCCTAATTTAAAATTCTCACAATCTATGTACAGAGACAATGCTTTCCCATGTTACAACCATCATAACTTACAAACACATTAGTAATAACTATTCACTGGATTTAAATGGCTCAAAGACTTTTCATGAGTAGCAAACAACATAACCTGTATACTTTACACACTTATTTTACATTGCAACAGAGGGTCAAGTTATGGCAGCCAGGCAAAAAAATGAAATAAAAGTCATCTTAGTTGAAGAGTCAGTAGGGAATAAAATCACGTTTATATGTAAATGAATTGATCTTTTATACATTTTTTAAAAAATCTCTGAGAAAGAATTATTGAAAATAATTTCTGGTTTTCAAAAAGTAGGACCCAAGATCAATAGAAAAACTAACCAGCCACTGTGGAAATCACTGTAGAGAAATGGGTAATAATGGAGCAAAAAAGATTAAGCGGGAGTGGGAATGGAAAAGTAGGATGGAGGAGGGAATTAAAGAGGAATGAAAGACTAGGAGTTAAGACTTTTTATTTATTTATTTTTTTTATTTTTATTTTTTTTTTGCTCTCTGGACAGAGGAGAGGGTGCCTGAATCGGCCGTGGCCCATGACCATACTGATGTATATTTTGCTTATCACCATAGATCCTTCCTCTGGCGAAGGACGGCTACGCAGTCGGAGGCCCACATTGGAGCACCGGATTGAGCCCCCCGAGGTCCGGAGGGGGAGCGGAAGGAGGAGGAACATGAAAAACGAAATCAGTACTGCGAGGGATGCTATCACCCACTGATACAAGGGAACGGATCTGATGAGAGTTTACCAGGGCCAGCCGGACTGGGACTGAACGAGGAGTTAAGACTTTTTAAAAAGTCATACGGAAACCTACTACCGGAGAAGACTTCTAACAACTTGCACTGTGTTAGAAAGACCTATGCATGTTTCTGGAAGACAAGAGTAATCATTAATCTTTTTTTCTAATTGTTTATTATTAAAAAAATTCTGCCTCCTCCCTACCTCCCCTTTCCTTCCCCCTCCCTCCACTTCCCTCTCCCTCTCTTTCCAGTCCAAAGAGCAGTCAGGGTTCCTTGCCCTGTGGGAAGTCCAAGGTCCCCGCCCCGCCTCCATTCAGGTCCAGAAAGGTGCACAACCAAACAGACTAGGCTCCCACAAAGCCAGTACATGCTGTAGGATCCAAACCCAGTGCCATTGTCCTTGGTTTCTCAGTCAGCCCTTATTGTCCTCCATGTTCAGAGAGTCCGGTTTGATCCCATGCTTTTTCAGTCCCAGTTCAGCTGGCCTTGGTGAGCTCCCATTAGATCAGCCCCACTGTCTCAGTGGGTGGACGCACCCCTCCCGGTCCTGACTTCCTTGATCATGTTCTCCCTCCTTCTGCTCCTCATTTGGGCCCTGGGAGTTCAGTCCAGTGCTCCAATGTGGATCTCTGTCTCTATCTCCATCCATTGCCAAGTGAAGGTTCTATGGTGATATGCAAGATATTCATCAGTGAGGCTACAGGATAGGGCCACTTCAGGCTCCCTCTCCTCAGCTGCCCAAGGAACTAGCTGGGGACATCTCCATGGACACCTGAGAACACCTCTAGTGTCAAGTCTCTTGTCAGCCCTAAAATGGCTCCCTTAATTAAGATATCTTCTTCCCTGTTCCTATATCCACCCTTCCTCCATTCCAACCATCCCATTTCCCCAAGGTCTCCCCATCCTTCCCTCCTCACTTTTCTCTCCCCATTTCCTCTAGCCCCCACTCCACCCCCACCCCCAAGATCCCAATTTTTGCCTGACAATCTAGTCTACTTCCAATATCCACGAGGATAACTATATGTTTTTCTTTGGGTTCATTTTCTTATTTAGTTTCTCTAGGACCACGAATTATAAGCTCACTGACCTTTATTTATGGCTAGAATTCACTTATGAGTGAGTACATACTACACTCTGAGATACCATCTTACACCTGTCAGAATGGCTAAAATCAAAAACACTAATGATAGCCTTTGCTGGAGAGGATGTGGAGTAAAGGGTACACTCATCCATTGCTGGTAGGAATGCAAACTTGTACAACCACTTTGGAAATCATTGTGGTGGTTTCTCAGGAAATTCGGAATCAACCTATCCCAGGATCCAGCAAAACCACTCTTGGGAATATACCCAAGAGATGTCCAATCATATTAAAAAAAGCATTTGTTCAACTATGTTCATAGAAGCATTATTTGTAATAGCCAGAACCTGGAAACAACGAAGATGCCCTTCAATGGAAGAATGAATAAAGAAAGTGTGGAATATATATTCATTAGAGTACTACTCAGCGCTAAAAAACAATGACATCTTGAATTTTGCATGCAAATGGATGGACATAGAAAACACTATTCTGAGTGAGGTAACCCAGACACAGTAATCACTAATCTTAATCAGCTTTGAATCTTGCAAGGAACAATAATGATTGGCCTGGTATAGAGGGCAAAAGTCCTTGTGTACACAGATAAGCACTGGAGAAGCCAGGAAAGATAAACACGCAGCTTATCTCCTCAAAGGAGTGGAGAGGCATAGCTGATCTTTCTGGAATGCTAGGAAAGATGTCGCTTTACAACCTGGTGACCCTTTGTTGTCTGATGAGACAGGATCTGCCTGTATCTCCCAGACTTTTTATTTTTACCCATCCATGACCTTTTCCTCTAAATCCTGAGCATTGACTTTACCCCACAAAACCCATTCTTATTAGTGAGGTTCCTTGTGCTTTATAACAGCCTAAGTGACTTCTCCGCTAGCTTAGGGTCAAGCCAATTCTGAAAACCACAGGCTTTATTTTTATCCCAGTCAAGCTTCTTAGACCCAAATCTTGGGCACTGTCTCTGAGTATCAGCAGTATTCATTCTTACGAAACAAGCCAGATATGCTTTGTAAGGAATCTCAATGTAAACCAATCTTAAATTTTTGTGTATTTGATACCGAATTAATGGTTATCTGAATACTTTTTTTTTTAAAAAAAATTGTGCTGTGCTTAAATATGGGTAAAGTATAATGATCTTGGCCAGACTCTAGAAGTTTTGGTCCAGCACCAGTTTCAGTAAAATTGAACTGAGCTGAGTTTAATTCTTGTATTTTCATGGATCGTTTTCCCCTGCCTGTTGTAGAGCCTGATTGGAATCACCACAACCTGGCAACATAAACTCACTGATGTAATAATGACACAAATGTAATGAGAACAATAAATTGGATTTGAGGACTGACTGCTCTACAAGACAGAAACCATGATCAGTATCAATACAGGAACCAGGAATTTGTGGCCAGACCGGTCATTGTCTCTAGGTGATAATCTACTACTGTTGTTCTGCTAAACTGACATAGTAAATAAATTGACTCATAATGGCTTATCCTTGTACCCATGCATTTGCTCATCTCTTAATCCTTATTATACACGTTTCTTTTTCGATTCGATGACAAGTAGTACTGTGATCCACAACTGAATAATAAATAGAGAATGAGAGACTGTAGCATGCCTACATCTAAGTGGAATGTCTACCTTATACTCTTCCTTCAAATGCTCAAGGGTCATCGTGAAAATGGGATCAATAAACCTCTATCAGTTAGAGGTAGTTGATGAGCACAGTGAAAGTGTTCCTCTGTACAACAGGATAGTGCTAATGTGAACTCACAGTGGTTGTGATAGGGTGTACAGGGCCTGTACACAATCAAACCAGATAAAATCAAAGCATGGAGGAGGGAGGTGGTTAGGAATTCTCACCCTAGGTGAGGAGCTATTGACAATTTACTGCTGCTAGTGAAAGGAGAGTCAGTTCTGTTTTTTTTTTAAAGTGATATAGCTCCTGAGAGGGTGTCCATATGCAGTAGATGGTCCTATATCCAGGACCATGGTGACAGCACTGTGTGAACTCAAAATACTTTTAAAAGAACACATGATTATCTATGAAAACATACATATGAGTAACAACATTAAGACTGAGGAGGCTATATTTTGTAATATATAGGTATGTACATGTATACATACAATGATAGTTAAAATATAAAGGCTATGAATTTCAAGGAGAGTATGGGAGTTTCTGGATGAAGGAAAGAGAAGAAGAGAATCACAATGTTATGATTATATTATAATTTTAAAAAATTTAAAAAATGGAATAAAATCAAGACAAAACCAAGAAGCTCAGTGATATAGTATTTGCCTGTTATGTTCCAGGACCTATACTTGGTTATTACTACTAAAAATAAGTAAACTAAAATAAATTTTTAATGTAATAGAATAAATGAAGATTTGATGAGGCAAAATGTGTAGAACATTGAACACATGACACAATTTTCACATTCACTGCCCCTTCCTACCTCCTCTCTTCTCCCGCAGACAACCTCTACTGCATAACAGTTGACCTAACACCTAACAGATTAATGGAGCATCAGAAAGTATAGGAATGGCTTAAGGTGAGAATGTTAGTTTGCTAATGGTATTGCTGAAGTGTAGTCAATATGCAATGGTCTACATGTATTTAGTCAAATACAGTTTGATCAGTTTTGACACACACACACACCAATGATGTTGTAAACATAATCAGAGAAATCAATACATCTTTTACTAATCAACATTTTCTTTTATCACATTGTGATTCTTGATTGATTGTTTCATCAGAATGATTGATATTGTATTTACTGTATTTTGAGTGTACAATTCCATATTGCCCATAGGTAACCCAATTAGCATTA